ATCTAAAGCAGTGTTGACAACAGTGAATTCTACTACATAATAGCACACATACATCATTCAGATGTCTTTTCATGTTGTGATGTGCTCATCTGTAATTCTTTTAGAACATTTTCCTGTCAGATATTAAATAGACATTTAGTAATCGTCTTTAAGATGTATATGGTTTATGTAAACTCACTTTGGAGATGTGCGTGTGCTTACTGGAGCTCCCCTGTTCGCTATTCATAATAAAACGTGTTTTTACAGTAAAATCACAAATATACTATACTATTTAACGTCTTTACACCTTATGCAAATCATCAGTTTACTCTACAGCAGCTCAACAAATATGATTTTAACACAAGGAACCGTGTTTTTGGTTTGTATTACTCACATTTGTAAACACCCTTGTCGCTGTTCTCCTTCACATTCGATGATGACGTATTGATCTCCCGTGGACTCCTGGGATTGAAAAGTGTCCATCGATGAACACTTCAGAATCTGGGCTGAAGCAGTAGGACATCCAGGGATTTCTCGCCTACTCTTTTATGAATAATGCGGTTTCGGACATACTAATCTGTTCACGTACTCTTTTTCCCTACTATATAGTAGGTAAGTAGGCATATTAGAACGCAAATTAAGTATACGTACGTCCGAGTGCAATTCTCGCCTATTCTTTTATGAATACAGAGGATTCAAACATACTTATTTGCTTGCCTGCTGCATTTTGCCTACTATATAGTGGGAAGTATGCCATTTTGGATGCAGCCAGAGAGTCGGGAGATTGGCGGTGAGTAAGTAGGTCAAGTTCAAAGTGACAAACACCTGTGTCTTGTTGCAGGAATTGGCGTGGAGAGACCGGATAAAGCCGCCAGGAAAGGGGACAGAGAGAGAGAGAGATTGTGGGCTGAGGACTCGTGTGTTGCTGCTGCCATATATTCTGTTGAGCTGTGTGAGAATCTGATTTGGAAGCGCTGAGAGCGCACATTTTGTTGGACTGGAAAGAGAATTAATAAAGAAACATGAGCCTCAGTAACCCGACCCTGTCTTCTTCCTTTCCACACATGCTGAACTTTATCACATGAGGGTTTTCTAATAAGGTGCAGATGTAATGTGTAAGGAACGGCTCCACCATAATAAGAATAGCAATGTACAGTGACATTTAAGATTATTTACAAGTAAGGGTGTAATGGTACGGTTCGGTACGCATGTGTACCGAACAAATACAGCGTTGTTTTAACCACTGCATGGGTGGAACTTCATTGGAAACTTCCAGCTAGGAAAGCTCGGTTCTGTTGTTTCCCACTGTCTGAGACGCAGCTCTCTGTGTGCGCACCGAACACGGCGCGCGAGTACTTAGTCGAGTTATTTCGCGTCTTGTGCTTGAATGCTTTAAAATCTCTTGAATGTTTAAATTGGCAAGGCTTAAAAAATACCTGCAAAGATAAGCTTTCATGACGACGGGCAGCAGTGGCCCGTCAATCGTCTTTTAAGCGTCTGTTAAGCATCTTTTATGCTGGCCTCGGGCAGTCAGTTGAAATCGCCGGGGGGCCCCCCACAGCCATGGGCCCCTATAATCGTCACCACCTTTCACCCCACTAGCGACGGCCCTGCTCTTTACTACTAGTTTTATCTCATGCCTCATGTAATCTCTTAATCAGTGTTTCAACTAGGCCTGGGCGATAAAACGGTATCGATATTTATCGACAGTACACCATCATCGATAACGATAGAAAAAATGTTCGATATATCGCACGATAGTTTCACGCTTTTTTAATTTAAAGGCGCGTTATGAGTGACAAGCAGACAGCCAGCAGAACACAAACACATGCTGAAATTAGTGCCGTGCCTGCCTGCGAACTTGTTTCTCATTTATCTTCAGAGGTTTTTTGTTTTTTTTTGACAAATATAGAAGACAATTCACAAAATACAGCAAATAAAGTAACATTAGTGCCCCTCTTACCTAAAACCAGGAGGAATGCTTTCATTTTTAAAGTCAGGTAGAAGCTCAAATGACGTGTCGCTCCTCACAGACACACAGCTGGCTTCTGTAGGGTCTGATCTCTCCTGCTGGATTGGGCTTCTGTAAAACAAACACTTCTTTAAAAATCATGTGGACATGTTTATTATCACATGTTTAAGACTGAATTTTAAATATTCAAATTAAACATTACTGCAAGCTTTACATTTTGCAGTGTATGCATATGACTTCTTATCGAATAAAAAATTAATCCAAGCATTTTAGAGATTTTATTCAGATTTTGTTATTTCCATCCAGCATTTTGTGTCATATCACTAAATTTGCATAAAAATATGTGGATGGAAATACGGCTACAGACACTGTGCAACTAGCTAGATGATCAGAAAAGTAGGTACAACACAAAACATTAGATTTATCCACACAGAAGAGCACTGCTGATATGGCAGAGAAGCTATAGCGTGTTGTAGTAAATTATAAGACAGTATTTAAAAATAACAACATATGCAGTGTATATGCTCTTATTTAAAAAAATAAAATGCATGTTACCTTATTGGGACCTTACTTGTATTCTTAAAGCCCACCTCTTTACCTATCCCTACCCATATTGAACCATGCTGAATCATAATCTGGGAATAAGATGGCACCACAGATGGATCTCCAATGCTTCTGCAGTTTTTGTTCGTTTGTCCTGTTAACTTTAGTCTTTCTTTTCCTATCAGTTTTACCAGAGACAAACTACTGAACATTACGCAACACACATCAGACAAAAATTTTCACATTTTTGATTATTCAGACGTTTTGTTGGACATTCTAGTTGGAGAGACAGCGGTGCTGTTCAAACGCGCAACTTCCAAACAGCTCTTCCAAGTATCCATCTAGCGAATCTCCGATCCCTTCGTAACAAAATGAACAAATGTCTCTTCACCTGCACAAACAAGGCCTTTTCAAACTATATGCTGCATTGTGCTTAACTGAAACCTGGTGCAGCTACTCCAGACAATAGCCCTATTCGCACGGGATAAGTATTATCTGGGGACCTTGTGTGATTTATAAATCCCCCCCACATCTAAATTTCGTGTGGCACATTGTCATGGGATAAGCGAAGCCTGTGATTTTTACTCGAATTTACTGACTTATCTCATTTTTTAAATAATTATTGTTAGGTTATTATTATCATTAAAATGTACCATGTATTAGATACGGATAGCAATAATAAATAAACAAAAATATTTAACAAAATAAACTATAACCATATAAAAATAATTCTACCCAAATTATATTTCTTGTAGCCCAGTGGAAATATGTTTACTCTGGGCGACTAAATGGCACTGTGCCCTTTTGGCGCATCCCCTGGTTGAGAGTCCCGTTATGGTCCGGTTAAATGGATTAAAAAAAAGAAACAAATATAGTTTTGTGCCCTGTGTCATTTACATTTCACAATGTTAAAATCTAAAAGCTCAAGCTTTACGCTTGATTTATTTGTAACACATTAACCTCAAATTATGTTGTGAACCCACTCGCTTGATTGTGCACTATATTGGATAGGCTATCGCTAAATGTCTTGTTGGTATAGGTCTAGCTGTATGATATATCATAAAACAGAAGAATGTTCCTTAGCGCATGCTGCTATACATGTCATCCATCTCCATCTAATCATTCTTCTTGTTTTCGCTCTTCTGGTGGTTTTCAGCTTTCTCTTTCTGCAAATTGTATAGTTATATGGTGTATAGCAATATGACCCAGCACCCAAAATACTATCAAAACACTCCAAAACAGCCTCCATTCTTCGCGAAAGATGGATAAAAGGCACACAGGAAACAAAAACCTTGAAAAAATTATATACGACCCCGCCAAATCAGAGAGATGCTGATTCGCACGGGACTAATATTATCACAGGACCTCGGTGTTCGGTGAAATATGGTAGGTCATTTGCGGTGGAAGTTTTACTTTACAAATGACAGACATGGCCGATTTACAGGATTAAGATCTCAGACAACCTCTGCAATTATTACAAATGTCTAGAAGTCACTAGTTAATACTAATCCTGTGCGAATAGGGCTAATGCGCTACATTTCACAGACTTCCAGCTGTTCAGTGCCGATCACATTTCAGAGATAATGGGGAAAACGAGGTGGTGGATTGTTTTTACATTAATTTAAGTTGGAGCTCAAACGTAACAACTCTGAAGAGGATGTGCTCCCCTGATTTAGAGGAGCTCTTCATAAATTGTAATCCTTTCTACTACTGCGTGTGTGAGTGCAGCGCAGCAATAGCTGGCTAATCAGATTACAGACACAGACTTACAAGCCTGTTTCAAGTGCACTGATTAGAGTGTTTTTGAAGCTGCTGAAAGCTCAGACAGCTTCATGCCAAAGAGGATGCTTACAGCACTGGGGACAAAATCTTGTACAAACAGGCTTGAGAAACACTGTCAAAAGAGATCAGAGTGGCTAAAAGGAGATACTCTGAAAAGATTAAAAAACGGTTTTCAGCCAATGTCCTAGCATCAGTCTCGACAGGTCTGAGGAACATCACCAAGTACAAGACACGACCCCCAGCTGGCTGATGACCTGAATGTTTAGGTTTAAAAAGCCTAGTCTCACACCCAACACCCACTCTGATCTGCACACATCATCTACACATACACCAACACCTCCTACAATTCAGCATGCCCTATATGGTCTAAAGGGGCTTTCGCACTGGGTAGTTCTAGGAACTCAGTTCGGTCTCTCGACACTGTGTAGCTTATACTTGGGGGTGATCCCCCTCCTCCCAAATACTGAAGCCTAATCGCATTGCGCCGGTAAATTTAACCAGCCAATTACGCCCAAGCGCTCGTGCTAGGGGCGGAGCCACCCACTATATAGGCCGGTGCTCAGTGTCATTACCTCAGAATATTTCTCCTTCACGAAGCAAGCATCGAAGACTTCTACTCATTGCTATTTTCTTCTCGCCATTGACAACGCCCTAAGAGGACGCAGTTCGCTTCAAGTTCCCCTTTGGCGATCTGGCAAGAAGACAGGATGTCCCTTAAGGAGTGCTGTGCGTGCAGGGGCCCGATTGAGCTCCCGGACGCACACGACGCGTGTGTCTTCTGTCTGGGCCGAGCCCACGCAGGGGTCGTGTTGGATGGGCCTGACTGTCCCGCCTGTGAAGAGATGACAGTCAAAGCCCTTCGTGCCAGGATTTCCGTGATCCTGAACTGCGCTGGCTAATCCCTTGCCTCCGCCCCCCGTCGCCGCCGAGCTGCGGGAGGAAAGGCTGAGGCAGCCACGTGCAGTAGGCCTCTCTGATGAACGCATGTCGACTCAGTTCCTGCATGCTCATCGCTCAAGAGAGCCACCTGTTTCTTACACTGAGCCCAGCCTCCACCCCTCGGATGATGCGCGGGACCTGGTCTCCTTTGGTGTGGCAGAGGATGAAGTGGACGACGATGCTATGTCGACTGCAACCTCTGGTTCGGGTGACTGGTCGGCCTGCATGGAGTCGGAGGCCTCCCACAGCGAGGAGCATGAGTTCCTGGCTCAGATTGATGAGGAGTTGGTGAAAATCCTGTCTGAGGCTGTACAGGATTTGGGTATTGATTGGTCGCCCCCCGAGCAACCAGCCAAGAACAGGTTGGACATGCAGTATCTGCAGTCGGGCCGCCAGGTTGCCGCTCCCCAGAGACCCGCTCCCTTTTTTCCTGAGGTCCACGAGGAGATCTTGCGGTCTTGACACTCCCCCTATTCGGCCCGAGCCCAAGCCGCGGAATAGCGTATGCTCTCCTCTGTCGACGGAGCCGACCACTGGGGTTACACTAAGCCGCCGCCCGTCGAGGAAGCAGTTGCAGCGCATCTTTGTCTTATAAGGCTTATATGGCAGCCGGCAGCATCTGCGATCCACACTATGGCTGTTCTCCAGGCTTTTCAAGCCAAAATTCTGCAAGCGTTGGATGAGGAGGGTCCGGACTCCGCCGCTTCAAAAAGTTGCGTTCGGCCACTGACTTGGCGCTCAGAGCCACGAAGACGGCCACTGTAAATCAGAAAAGAAAATCAGCCGCTGTATGGGCAGTCTCGTCACGCTGCAGCGGCATCTTTGGCTCATGTTGACGGACATGAGGGAGTCGGAGAAGGCTCAGCTGTTGGATGCGCCCATATCTCCGCTCGGCCTGTTTGGTGAGGCTATAGGCTCGTTTTCTGAGAAGTTTCTGGAGGCCACTCCAGAAGGCGATGAGCCACTTCCTTCCGAAGAGAGATCGGTCCGCTGCAAAAGATTTGGACTAGCAATCGATGAGAGCGCGTCTATCTCAAGAGCGAATACAGTCTTTGGTCAGTGCTCTCACCTCGTTCAAACCAGGGAGAGTGTTAATTCTGAAATGCTTTCAGAGAATGTTAGGGCGTATGGCAACAGCAGCTGTGGTATGTCAGCTCGGGCTTCTGCATACGAGATTACTTCAGCTATGGCTGAAATCCCGGGTGCCAAGCAAACCGTGGAAGAACGGTCAGTTGCGTGTCTTGTTGACCCACGGATGCATGCAGACACTAGCCCCCTGGTTCAACAAGAAGATGTTCGAGAAGGGAGTCTCGATGGGCAGAGTGGTCAGCAGAAAAATCGTCACTAGGGACGCGTCATTGACGGGCTGGAGAGCCCTTTGCGACGGCAGACTGGCTTATGGCACTTGGACGAGTGCGCAAGCAAAGTGGCATATAAACTGCCTAGAGTTGAAGGCAGTATTTTTAGCTTTGCAGGGCTTTCTTCCACTGATAAAGGATCGACACATCCTGGTTCGGACAGACAACACGACGGTGGTATCCTATATCAACCATCAGGGAGGTATTCGTTCACGCTCACTTCAAAGGCTGGCAGAGCATTTCCTCCTTTGGGCAGACAGAAACCTTCTGTCGATTCGAGCAGTACACGTTCCCGGCAGTCAGAACTGCGGCGCGGACATGCTGTCTAGGGGTGGCCGAGTCCACGGGGAGTGGAGGCTGCACCTGCAGACTATTCAGTTGATTTGGAGTCTGTTCGGAGAGGCGGAGATCGACTTTTTTGCCTCAGAGGAGAAAGCGCATTGCCAGCTGTTCATCTCGGTGACGAACGCGCTCCTGGAGGGGGGATGC